GCCAGACTGGTGTGGGGGCCCTCCAGGGAGGCACGGGCCCTCGGGGACACACATGGGTGGCCTGGTGGCCTCATACAGTCTGGGAAATGTAGTAAGCAGGTGCTGGGGTGGGTGGAGTCCTCCTGGGTGGATGACACATCCCTCCCTTGAAGGAATTTGAGCAGTGAAAGCAGGAAGGGGGAGGGGGGTGCTACAGGAGACCCAGAGCACTCTGGGTGCCATCCCCAGGGAGGCCAGGACCCAAGGACAGCTGTAGTGGGCCTGGCAGGGAGGTGGCTCACACACAGGTGCTGTGCCCCTGTGAGGAGCCCTGGTCATTGGGCACTTATTGGTACAGTTGTGACGTGTAAAAATACCAATGGGTGCAGGAGTCCATGCCTTGGGCTCATAATGCTTTCCAGTCTTTCTGGAATTTTGACTACTGCATGTACTAAATAGTTTGAGGCAGCCATTTCTGAGAAGCAGGTGTACAAGTCACCTGCTGTCGAGCTCAGGCTGGTCTCCGTGGCCGCAGCAGCCCTGCTTTTCTCTTTGCACAACACTGGTCGGGACAGGCGAGGAACCCACGCTGCCAGTGAGTCCCGGCCCGTCCAGCAGAACACACTCAGCAAACTTCTTGTTTCTTGAAACACCGATACTTTCTGCTGACTTCAAATAGGAATCAAACGAACCTTCCTGAAGTTCTGTGTGGTGCAAAGGTCAAAGCAAACACCTTAATTTCTCAGCTCAGAAAACGTAAATATTTGAATGGGCACATTAGCAATAACTGTGAAAGGTGCTTCCCTCCTCCTTTGACAATGATTTCCTCCTCCTGCGCAAGTTTATTTTTCTTACTGCTATAGTCGAGCACAGCATTCCGTTTCCCAGCACCTTTGGCAGCATCTGTGTTAGCCAGATGGGTCACTGGTGTGGCCCAGCTCCTTTATTTTTAAGTGCCTTACTGAAGTACGACTGTGAGAGGTGGCCTGAGCCTAAGTCTCTCTCTGGACAGTTGGTGAGCAAGTGACCCTAGTGTGTCCAGTATCCAGATCCCTCCCGCCACTACCCCACTTCCAAGGGCGGCCAGCCCCCAACTTCACAGCAGAGGCTCTTTTGAGGTGCTGTGGCCGTCACACAGCCCATGTGCGCTGTGAGGCTCCAGCTCTAACTGGCCACAATCATCAGCCCACCCAACTGCCAGTGGGCACTGTGTGGTAGGGAGGCAGCGTGTGTGTTGGGGTCATGGAGTTGGAAATCATGCATCCCAGGTTAAATCCTGGGTCTACCACTTTCTAGCTGTGTAACCTAGGACAGGTTGCCTATCCTCTCTGAGCTTCAGGTTCCCCATCAGTAAAATCAGCACAGCCATCCCTGCCTCCCTGGGAAGTTTCATGCAGAGTGGCTGATGAGTGCCACCTGCAACACCTTGGGTGCAGCTAGACACACTCTGTGCCACTCCCACCGCTGCTCAGTAGCCGCTCGGAACAACCACTGCTGGGCTAGTAGAGTCCCACGCTGGCTGCCTGGAACTTCTGTGGGACCTTCTGTGGTGTGTTTTCAGACAGCGAGGTCCAGCAGTTGTAGGATCTTGGTACCTCTCTAAGGTTGCTGTCACTGTCCTCTCAGTGTGAAGGGACAGTGGCCCTGTGCCTGCTGCCCTCGAGGCAGCCTTCAGTAGCACCTGTGGCAGGGTCTTGGCCTCTTGTGTGCAGCCCTGGATGAGGTACCCTCCACACGAATGGGGTCCACTCTCCACAATGAGACTGGGTGCTTCCCTCTGACCACTTGCTTTGCTGGAAAAAGGAAGTCCATCTGGGCTAATACAAAGCACCCCGTCCTGTGCCCCTGGAGCCCAGCGACTACGCAAGCTGCGTGTGACACCCGTGTCCTTGCAGGCCTTCCGGAGCAGTACTACAGCCTCACCTGGTTCCTGAGCCCCGTCCTCGGCCTCATCTTCACGCCTCTCATAGGCTCTGCGAGTGACCGGTGCACCCTGAGCTGGGGCCGCCGGCGGCCCTTCATCCTTGCCCTGTGTGTCGGCGTGCTTTTTGGCATTGCCCTTTTCCTTAATGGCTCTGCCATTGGTAAGTATGTCTCTGCTACTCTCTGAGTCCTAACACCTGCACAGGGTCTCTGCCCGGGGTCATTCTGTTGTCAGTCAAAGGTGAGTGGTGGCAAATCGCTCAGGACGTCCCTCTGTGGGACTTTCTGGTGCCTCTGGGGTACTCGGTGGTGACCCCCACCTCCCCAGGCCTGCTTGGCAGTGCTGGAGCAGCCCCGCATGGGAAAGCCTGAGGAACCTGTTCCCAGGGAGACGCTTCCTGTTGTGATCATTTGTTTGTAATGCGTATCTGACCCCACGTCCTGTTTCCAGTATTATTTCAGAAATTATCTTTTCTTTTTTGTCCTCCCTTTCTTAGACTTAGTACTGAAAGTGTCCAGAGCCTCATTTGGTGTTTTGATTGTTGAATGTGCTGGGTTTTGTTTTGCCCTTTTCTGTTGTTTTGTTTTTAATTACAGCAACTATATGTGGGAAAATACTTTTTGCTTTGAGGGCATCTATCAAAACTGTTCAAAACAAAACATTATTTTTTGGCAACAAATTTTCGAGACTGAGGAATTTATTACTCTGTTTTGAAGTAGAGGAACTTGCCCAAGTCTGCCTCTTCAGATGGCAGGTGGGGTGTCGGAGTGTTCAGTAGAAGCCCAGAAAACAACCTCTGTGCTAATGTCACTCCCTTCAGGAGGCCTGGGTGGAGCTGGGCTGTATGGCCTTGTCGGGGTGGCCTTCTCCAAGCTACGTCATACATGGGATTCAGAATTCTGGGTCCTGTTTCCTTGGCACCTGCAGGCACAGTGCTATGGCTCTTGGCCATCTGGGTCTCAGGTGCCCCTGCCCTACTCTTACAGAGGTGCAGAGAGAAGGACGGGGCTGTCTTCAGGCTGTGTCCCAGTGTGCGGTCCTGCCCAGTGTGACCCCAGTGCCGACAGGGGAGCTCCAGTGCCTGGTGTGGACGCTGTCTCATGCCTGTAATCCGAGGAGGCCAGCAGGGCAGTCCTGGGCAGAAGCCCCCTCCTATGCCTCCTGCAGGGCCAGTCCATCTGTGTCACAGCACTTTGGGGCTGCTCCTGGGTCCTAGGCTTCAGCCCCCACTCTGCTCTCCTTTGTCACAAGGATCCACTTGTCTCATCGTGGTAGATGGAGATGCAGGTTTAGGTTCAGCCATCAGGATCGTAGTGTAGCCTCTGGGTTCATAGCCTGGGGAAGACTCCCCTGAGGCAGGCAAGTTGTGTGTTGGGGGGGACAGCTCCCAGAGGCCCTGTGGGCAAGGCGAGGCCACCCCATCTTCCTTGTCAGCCACGTCTCCAGGCTGCTCAGGGGACCAGCTGGACTCGCAGCATCCTGAGCACCATTTGGCTGCAGGTCCAGACCTGCAGGCGTCATGCGCTCTGTGGTTGGGCATCTTGGGTGTGCCCGACACCCTTGAATGGCGTGGATGGCTGTGAGTCCACACCCTCCCTTCTCAGCACACACTAAGTGAGTGGTGGTCACCCTCTGTTGAGTGGGCTGGAAAGGACCCTTAGCCTCTTTCCTGTTTCAAAGACTGTAATGGGAGATAAGCTTTTGGAGATCCAGTGAACGGCTAATAAGAGTAGGGAGGAAAAATAACCCTGCAGACCACAGGAATGGAGAGAGACAAACCCACTGTTTACCTGGAGGCCTAGGCAAGGGACCTTGTCCTCTTCCTAGTAGGGAAGGGGCTACCGTAGTTCCCCAGGCCATCTCCCCATGGGTAACAATTTGCTCGCAGCCCTCCCTGGCCACCATGGGGTCTGACGGCTTCCCTTGTCCTTGCGCTCCCTGCAGGCCTGGCCCTCGGCGATGTCCCTGGCCGGCAGCCCATCAGTATTGTCCTCACGGTTCTGGGTGTCGTGATCCTGGACTTTAGTGCTGATGCGACCGAGGGGCCCATCCGTGCCTACCTGCTGGATGTGGTGGACAGCGAGGAGCAGGACATGGCCCTCAACATCCACGCCTTCTCTGCTGGTAAAGCATAGCTTGGGCATGGTGTTAGAGTGGGGGCATGGGGCAGGACCGCCTCTGCTCCCTCCCAAGGCCAGGGCCATGCATCAGGGCACACACTGTGTCTCAGCACATGGCTCCCATGCAGGCGCTGGCAGGCCCTGGCAGCGGGTGGTGTCTTAGGGCAGAAAGGTGTCCCCTCCTGGCCATGGAGCCCAGCAAGACCAGGGGACTGGGAAGCTGCAGGAAGTGAGTTGGCCCAGTCTTGCCTGGGGGGGCCATACTCACTTGCCAGTAGGTGGAGATGGCCAGTTTGCTTAGGGAGTCCTTCAGTGCAGAGAGGCCCCTGTGGGGTGTCTGGTCCCTCCTTGGTGCTAATTTGCCCTTCACATATTAAGCAGAAAGTCCGTCAGGGCGGAATGATCAAGCCGAGGGTCACTGGAGTCTCTTATTTTGTTTTCCTACCATTTCCCGTTCTCCTCCCTGAAACCTGTGTCCTGACTGTGAGTAGGTCCCCTGCTCACCCCACTTCTGCCTCTCTGCAGGCCTTGGCGGGGCTGTGGGCTATGTGCTGGGCGGCCTGGACTGGACCCAGACCTTCCTGGGCGACTGGTTCCGAACACAGAACCAGGTGCTCTTCTTCTTTGCCGCCATCATCTTCACGGTGTCAGTGACCCTGCACCTGTTCAGCATCGAGGAGGAGCAGTACAACCCACAGCAGGAGCACCCCGAGGACGCGGACACCCCCCCCACCCCCCTGGGCGCCCTGGATGGGCCTGACAAGTACGGTGCCGTGCCCACCTTTCCCGACGAGGTTCAGTCAGAGCACGAGCTGCCCCTGGACTATCTTGACGTGGACATCATGCGCAGCAAGAGTGACTCCGTGCTGCACATGCCGGACGCCACGCTGGACATGGAGCCCGAGCTGCTCTTCCTGCATGACATCGAGCCCTCCATCTTCCACGATGCCTCCTACCCCACCACCCCCCACAGCACCAGCCAGGAGCTCCCCAAGGCCAAGCTGCCCCGCAAGGCTACGTTCCTCAGGGAAGCAGTGAAGGAGGAGGAGACCCTGCTTGATAATCACTTGAATGAAGCTAAAGTCCCCAACGGGAGTGGCTCCCCACCTCCAAAAGACTCCGGCAGTGACTACCCCAGGGTAGACGTGAAGCCGGCTGCGGCCGCATCCAGCTCCATGCGGCGGAGGAGACACGCATTCCACCGGCAGGTCTCCAGCACCTTCTCCTACTACGGCAAGGTCGGGTCCCACTGCTACCGCTACCGGCGGGCCAACGCCGTGGTCCTCATCAAGCCGTCACGCAGCATGAATGACCTGTACGACCTGCAGAAGTGGCAGCGGCAGCGGTGCCGGCACAGGAACCTGAGCGGGGCCACCAACTCAAGTGGGGACACAGAGAGCGAGGAGGGTGAGAGCGAGACCACCGTGCGCCTGCTGTGGCTGTCCATGCTGAAGATGCCGCGCCAGCTGCTGCGCCTGTGCATCTGCCACCTGCTCACCTGGTTCTCCGTCATTGCCGAGGCCGTGTTCTACACCGACTTCATGGGCCAGGTCATCTTCAAAGGGGACCCCAAGGTAGGTGCCAACACCTCACAGGGTTCCCATTTCCGGGCTCCAGGTGGGTGTCCCAAGGGCGCTGGGGCTCCCCCACCACCACGCTGCCTAAGTACCAGCTGCCCAGGGGACAGGTGGGGACATGCTGCGTCTGGAACACACGCCTCTGTTGACTGTTGACGTGGCCAGGGTCGTTGTGTGAGCTGCATGGGGGTCTGCAGTGCAGTCCACGGTGGGCACCTGTGCCAAACTCATGTCCTGGTAGGATAATGACCAGGGTCAGCAGGTGGCTCTTCCGGTTGCTTGGTATCAGCTGGGTTCACAGCATGGCCACATTGTCCCCAAGAGCCAGGAGGCCTTAGCACAAGCCTCCCATCCCCATGTGGTTCCTCCGCCTCTCGGCTTCATTTGAGCTGCGGCTCATGGCAGCTCCAAGGGAACCAAGGGGGAGGCTGCAGGAGTCACTTCTCCAAGTCCACCCCAGCCCAGCCCACATTTGGAGGGTGGGGTACAGACTCCCCCCTTAATTGGGGGTGGCAGAGTCACCTCACATTTGTGGGCTACAAGAGTTTGAAAACAATTTTCTGGCTCTGGCTGGGCAGGGGGTTGACCCTCCTCCTGGGTAGCTTTTTATCATTTCTCCTAAAATAAACCTCTGGCCCTTGACTGAAACATACAACAGCATCTTCAACCTCTTCTCCCGGAACAGGCCCCCTCCAACTCAACGGCCTGGCATTACTACAATGCTGGGGTCAAGATGGGCTGCTGGGGCCTGGTCATTTATGCTGCTACCGGTGCTATTTGCTCAGGTAAAAGTTTCCTGGTCAGGTAAGCCTCCCACCCCGGAAGCTCTTGGCGGCCAGGTGCAGGATGAGTTGCACCTCAGAGGGTGGGAGTGCGTCAGAGCCTGCCCCCTGCCTGAGTGATGCCCTTTGGGGAAGCGGTGGTGGTGCATTTCCTCATCCTTGGGGATAGGAGTGTTCCCAGCTGAGCCCAGAGGAGAGAGTCTAAGACCTTCTGCAGGCTGCCCACGTTGATGGCACCTCTGTTTGGACATGCTGTCCTGTTCCCACCAGCACAGCTGGACAAAGGCCTGGCCCTTGCTGAGGGCTCAGCCAGCAGTCACAGGGGCGGGAGGAGCAGTGGACAGGAGGCTGCTCCCCATGAGTGCAGTAAGAGGTCAGAGTGCCAGTGTGCCCCAGCTCACTTTCCAGAACTGGGCATAACTGTGGTTACAGGTCTCCTGCAGGGTGGCTGCCATCCCCTGCCCTCTGTATGAGCAAAGGAGGAGCAGGCCAGATTCACTTTAGCCTAGCTGGACCTAAGGATGCCTGGGGTCAGTGCCCTCAGGCAGCCAGCATGCCAGGAAACAATGTCATTGCTGCTTGGGAAAACAGTTCCAGGCAGAGCGCCCTCCTAGAGTGGGGGCATTTCAGCCTCCACATACTCCCCAGGCAGGCCTGTTCAGTGCTGCTGCTACAGCAGATAAAGTCGTCAGAGGTAGGGCCAAAGAAGGTGGCTAAAAGGGTCTGGATTGGTGGCCTGGCAGATTGGGGTGAGGGGCCCGGGAACTGCAGGAAGGGCCAGGTTACGGGGTCTGGGAGCAGGGAAGGCTGTGAGCTATATACATGTTCTGGGCAGATGTGCTGCTGTGCCCAGCAGGGACCACAGTGTGGTGGGCGGGGCAGAGAGAAGGTGGTGCTTGCCTACCTATGCAGGCCCTAGTCCAGCTGCAGGAAGGGGGGTCTCAGGGCAGGGTAGGGGTGGTAGGGGAGCCTGACAGGATAAGTGTCCTGGTCACCATCCCTCCCTGTGGCCCTCTCTGCAGCCCTGCTACAGAAGTACTTGGACAACTACGACTTGAGCGTCAGGGTGATCTACATGCTGGGGACTCTGGGCTTCTCCATCGGCACGGCAGTGATGGCCATGTTCCCGTACGTCTCCATCGCCATGATCACCATCAGCACCATGGGCGTGGTGTCCATGAGCATCTCCTACTGCCCCTACGCCCTGCTGGGGCACTACCATGAGCTCAAGCAGGTGCGTCTTGGGGTGTCAGGGTGGGCAGGCAGGCAACATGAGAGATAGAGATTGTCCTCCTTGGTTCTTTTCATCTGAAATGGCCCTTGATGAATCCAACAGCTGTCACCTGCCCTGGGTCAGTCTCTCACCTGCCCTGGGTCAGTCTCTGGCCACATGCTCTCCTGCAGTCCCCAGCCCCACCCCCACCCCCAGCACCTGCCTCGAGACCTCTGAAGGCAGATGCCCCATCACTGGGTCTTGGCTAGGGAGCTGGAGGCAGTCCACACCCATCCAGTCCTCTCAGCACGGTCATGTCCGCCTGCCCAGGGGAGGGAGGCTATAGACCAGCTCTGTCTAGTAGAGTGGAGTGAGAGCAGCCCAGTAAATTTACACCTCCTGGTGGCCACATTTAAAAAGTAGGGAGGCTGGTGAAATCAATTTTAATAGCATATTTTATTTAACCCAATATATCTAGAACGTTATCTTTACGTTCTTGCTGCGTCTTTGAAATTCAGTGTTCAGTTTGTATCTACAGCAGGGCACAGTTGGGTGAGCCACGACATAGGGCAGGCTACAGTCTGCCAACTCCCCACACAAGCTAAAAAGGCCATATCTTTTTCTTTCCAAAACTAAACTGTGTTTATTCTTCTAATCTCTCTACATGGTTATTAAGCCAAATGTACTAGTTAGGTGCACACCAAGTCACACATCTAAATGACAGTGTTGTTTTTCAAATAAACTTTTTAATTGACATCTAACATGGCTTCTAAGCTGGGAGGAAGAACACGATGTAGAAGCTGCCCTGACTGACCAGCAGGGACATTCTCAGCCCAGAGCCCCCACCTGCCCCTCCATCTCCTCCTCTCCAGCACTGTCTGGGACTTGTGCTGTATCTGAACACTGGCTGGGATGTCTGCCTGGCTCCATCCCCCGTGGCTCGTGTGTGCGCTTGCTGGGGCAGGACTCCGTGCATTTTCACATCCCCATGTGTGGCCACCGTGTGTAGGTCCAGCTCTTACTCCCAATGCAGCCATGCTCCCCACCTGTGCTGTCCGTCCTGCCTGCATGCAAACTTTCACTGGTGATCTACTCAGAATAGATTACCTATGGTTTGGCGCAGAGCATCAGGATTTTTGTTTGTTTATTGTCATGAAATAGTCTTATTTTTATTCTTTTTACAACCATTTAGCACTATTCTTTTTTTTTTTTTTTTTTTTT